GCGCCGGCTCCCCTCCGGCCCCAGGGCAGGGACTGGCTGGCTCAGGGGGGCAGGGAATGGGGCAGGGGCCTGTCCCCTCTAGGGGGCGCTGGCTCCCCTCTGGCCCCAGGGCAGGGACTGGCTGGCTCAGGGGGGCAGGGAATGGGGCAGGGGCCTGTCCCCTTAGGGGGCGCCGGCCCCCCTCCGGCCCCAGGGCGGGGACTGGCTGGCTCAGGGGGGCAGGGAATGGGGCAGGGGCCTGTCCCCTCTAGGGGGCGCCGGCTCCCCTCCGGCCCCAGGGCGGGGACTGGCTGGCTCAGGGGGGCGGGGAATGGGGCAGGGGCCTGTCCCCTCTAGGGGGCGCCGGCTCCCATCCAGCCCCAGGGCAGGGACCAATGGGTGCTGGGTTTCAACACGCGCTGGTGCCATCTAGTGCCCAGCGGCAGGAGCTGCAGACACAGTGGGCTGGGATCATACCCTCCCCCTACTCAAAATGCCAGCTGGGGGGGGACCCAGCAGGGGGGTGAGTCACCCTTCCCAGCTGGCACCTGTCCTGGCACCTGCGCCATGGAGGCCCTGGCTGTACTGGGCCAAATTCAGCATGCCGGGGGGCGGAATTTTCTGTCCTATTTCTCAGAGGCCCAGGCGTGCCTCAGTTTCCCCCGGCAAAGGGACCTGGGTTTCAAGGTGACCCAGATCTGTGAGGCGGCCAGAGAAACACCGGCACAGGGACGCCAAGCCAGGCGCGATTTCCACGGGGGGGGGGGGAGGGTTCGGTCTCTGTAACCGTGTCCGGGGGGGGGGATTTTCACACCCCCGGGCGCAGACCTGTGCAGAGCACAGGGGCTTTGGGAGGAGAATGACCCTGCTAGGCACCTGCCTGCGGCCTGGGGGGCGGGGGTGGACTCCAGGCATTTCAGGGCGGGGGGTTGGATCACGCGTCAGGCACGAGACACCGGAGCCTGGATCCCCCACGGCCCCTAGCCAGGCAATGCTCCCCCAAATCCCCCAGCCCTTAACCTGGCAGCGTCCCCCAAGCCCGGATGCCAACTGCCCCTAACCGGCCAGTGCCCCTCCTGAGCCTGGATCCCCCCCAGCCCCTATCTGGACAGTGTCCCCCCATACAGCATGGATCCCCTGGCCCCTAACCGGGCAGCGCCCCCCCAGCCTGAATCCCACCTGCCCCTAACCAGGCAGTGCCCCCCCAGACCTCCTCGGTGCCTAACTGGGCACTGCCCCCCTGAGCCTGGATCAGTGCCCCCCTGAGACCGGATCCCCCCAAGTCCCCTAACTAGGCAGTGCCTCCCCCCAAATCTAACCCTGCCTGAACTGGGCAGCGCCCCCAACTCCTAACCAGACAGCGCCTCTCCCCCCAGGTCTCAACCCCGCCCGGCCCCTAACCGGGCAGCACCCCCCCTCGAGCCTGAACCCCCCAGCCCCTAACCGGGCAGCGCCTCCCCCCCCGAGCCCCTAACCAGACAGCGCCTCACTCC